TGGAAGGCATCCAGCCCCGCTGTGCTGGCAGGGAGGGAGGGAGGGAAGGGAGGGCGGGGGTGGGAGACGAAAACAAAGCTGTGTTTACTTAGCACACATGATAGAGCCGCTCTGAGCGACATGAAAGGCCAGGCAGCAGGAAAGACTCCGTACAATATAAGGAATCGCTGCCCTGGGTCCAGGGCCCGCCGGCCTTAACCCCCTTGATCCCGGATCCTTTTATGGCCCAGGGCCGCCATAAAACCAGCCTTTTCATGTTCCTGAAGGCACTGCATTAGGGAAGTTACATCCACTCGGTTTCGACATTAAACAGAGGTGGGGGGGAGGGAGGTAGAATAAAAAGGAACTGCTCTGCACGCGGAGAAGAAAAGCTAAGCTTTGTTCTGCTACAGAAGCCCTTCCTGGGCACCTCTTTGGGCAGGATTCGCCTCTCCCTGTTCCTCCCCTGGGCTTTCCCTTGAGGGTAATAGTGCTGCTCGTAGGTAAATGTGCATAATGAGGCCACGGCTCTAACGCCTCCTTCTGTGATGTTTCTGGCTCTGCTCTTTGGGGTGCTCAGTGGCTCACCACCCTGCAGGATGAAGACTAGGCCTTATCAGCTTTGGGCAACGCACCCCCCGCCACACACACACACACCTCTCCCACCCCGGGGCCAGGCCACGTGCTAGAACGTGGCACACGTTCTGGGGTGAGGCAATGTGTCTCCGTGCAGAGGGACCAAAGGGACAGGTCCCGAGAGAGGTGCGACAGCAGGGACGGGGAGTGAGCAAGCCCACGCGGTCCCCAGCTGCCTCCCCAGCGAGAAGAGGCGCTGGATCCGGAGGGGAAGGCCTTTCTGGCGGGCGCCCCCCCTTTCTCTGGAAATCCCCGGGGAGAAAAGAGGCAGCAGCGTTCGCCTGCAAACATTTAGGTCTGGCAAATGCATGCGTCTCCTGGGCCACCGCGAACAGGTTTCTTCATGCGCCTTAAGCAGCTCCCTGCACTGTTTTTCCTCTTCCTTGTGGTTAATCCTTTGAAGCAACCTGCCATTTTCAACAGCAGCTGGGGAGGGACGTCGGCAGGATTTCTCTCTCTCTCTCTCTCTCTCTCTCTCTCTCTCTCTCTCCACCTACCAATCCGGTGGAAGGAACGATGATATAATTAGTACCCTGCTCTTCCCACACCTAACCCGCTCCTTCCAGGCTCCAGGAGCCATGTGGGCCTGTTTTCCAACAAAAGCGGCTCCAGAGGCCGGCCTCGCAGCGTTTGAAGTGTCAAAACCCCAACCGGAGTGACTAAGCCTGTGTCTGTCTATCAGTCAGGAGGGGTAACGACCAGCCAGAGCGATGCACTCCAACACGCGCCAGCTCCTCCTCGCGATGCAAGGGTGCAACTCCAGTGCTCGGTGCAGCCTGGGCTGAGCTGTGGCTGCCAACCGGGGCGGGGGCGCGGGTGGCAGGCGCCGACA